CCGATCCTGTACATCCCCGTGATTAACAAAGTGGTCTTCAAGCATACCTGGATCTCATGGGAATGGGGCATCGTCTTCGTCGAGGCTATCCTCTTCTTCATGGGTGTTGAGACATGGAAATGGGCCAAGCGCATTTTTTTCCGCAAACGCGCCCGGAGCCAATGTCCTGGCCAAAAAACTGCTGCCCACTTACCTTGACATTCATTTTCCTGGCCTGGAACCGATTACGGCCAAGGAATCGTGTCACATAAAAATTAAGGACGCGACATACAAGTTCTAGCTTACTGTTTCGCAATTTTAGTTACAGGCGCAGATGTGGAAAGGGCAGATAGGAGCTGAAGATATTGGTTTGTCTTTGGCTCTGGTTTCAATTTTTCCCTGTTGTGGGTGTTACGTATATCTACCATTTACTTGGGGATTAGTACGTATATCCGTCACAGCGTCAAAAAGTTTGATAAAACCATTTCAATAGCAGAGGTATCAAGGGACACCGTTGTTTGACTATAACTGGACTAGATTCTATTATACGCATGGGCGTTTCGCAGCACATATCAATGAAAGACAATATGTTATGGTTCTCTTTCTGAGCTATCGCGATATTAGGAAAGTATTCTCTTTGGGAATAAGTAACTTTGCTATATTCTCCAAACAATACTGTTAGGCTCTAGCATATTACCATCTTTGAAACTAATACTACACCCTATTCTGGTAGTAAAGGCCAGAGAGCAGCTGGCGTTCGTAGCAATTTAGCATGGTATGCAGACCGACGAATTGGCGTTGTCTCACACTGCGACGAGTGTGCAGTAGCTAGTTCAATGCTTAGAATTGTTGAATCTCCTACACACTATTATAAGTTTCAGGCTCCCACATCATAGGGATTGGTTCCACTTCAACTGCTCCCTTTTCCACCGTACTTTGCCTACTGTGTGAGGAAGGCAAAAACATCCCCGCTGTAGGGTACGCGAGATACGAGAGTACTGTTATCCAGGATGTCAATTCCAATATCTAACAGGATACAAACTTAAGAAGAAAGGGCAGTCTTTGACTGGATACAATGGGATGAAAAAATCCCCCTGTCGAATTCTGCAGGATAGGCTGACAAGATCCCTCTTTGTTCTCTAAATATGCAGGTCAATCCAATTTCGCGAGTGGAGAAGGGGGCTGTGTCGCAGATGCAGAGTTTTCAGCTCACACGGGGATATATCTGCCGACGAGGGATATTGCTGCTGCCTGGACTTCCAGAGGAAACAAAACTGGTGGGGAAAAGAGTGTTGTCACTGAGCGACGCACCGCGAGTTTATACAGATCGAGGAGGCAGCTGGACGGGCGGTGCTGCACGGCAGATCCCGTTCCGGGATAGTTCCTGATACTAAACCTGCTACGGATAGGCTAAACCGCAAACAGATGACGCTATACGGGATACGGCACGGCGGAGACGCACGCCAGACCCAACAGAGGGGGGGCCAAGAGGGCATCGACTCAGCAAGTCGCATTTCTACTCACGAGCCTTAGGATCGAGTATTTATACGTTATACTGGCATGCTACGCCAGTCGTGGCACAGTAAATCACGTACCACTAACTTGGTGGGGAAGGCTCCTGAGGAATCTCCATCCAGCGTCGAAAAAAATCTCCTATCATTCGCTGTCGCACCCTTACAAATGTCTTATAAAATCACACGAACGCTCATCCGTTGGTTATCTGTCCAATCCTTCGCACCGATAGGCGCTAACTCGGAGGCCTATAAGATTTGGAGTAGCCTTCGCAGGCACAATGAGGATGGCGCCAGACAGTGGGCAAAGGAGTTAGGTACCTTCTGCACCTCCCGCTGGTGGGCTTACATAATTCACGGTTTTGAGTCGATCCAACAATACCTCGTAGAGAGGACAGAGATCGCCGTAAATACACACCTTGAGACTAGGCTGCCATTATTGGGGACGAATAATTGTTCTGCATACAACTTGTTACCGCAATAAGAGACATGAATGAAAACTAACACAGACCCCGATCCAAGTTCAGAATGGGGCGCAGTTGAGCTGTGACGGTAGCTAATAAGCACATGAAACGTGCCGCCCCTACTTACTGCGTTAATTGGTCCGCCGGCCATGCTTGATACTGAAGCTGTAGCGGCGTCACTTGGCTTAGTGGGGAATGCAGCACATCAGACACAATCATTGAATTTCGCTTGATCCAAGCTTTGAAATGGCGATCACTTCTTCTAGAGTCCAGCCATGAGGATTAAGAGCCATTTTAACTTAGCAGTTACGGCTCTTGGGAAAGCAAACCTCATCAAAACAGTGGGCCCCTTCCTGATTCGCCACCAAAGATAACAAACTGTGTAGACTACCGACAGCTGGAGAGGCCGGATGCACATTATCGTGCAAGTGTTCTGTATGTGATGGGGTTGGGTTCAGCATATTCTGAGTTTTCAGTCAATCATAGCCAGCCAACTTGGTTATCGAGCACTATCGCCGTAGATGTTGGAAGGAATCTAGTAAATCCGATTAACTGAATTGTACACCAGTAGGCGGTGCATAATTTCTCGGCAGGTTCTATCACAAACAGATAGACAGTTGCCGCTAAGTTTGAGCCATGAAACGAGGTGCAAAGCAATCAGTAAGCCAACCACACTTAGATATATTGTAGTAGTGTCACGTGGTAATAGTTGACCCAAGCGACTGCTGGGTACCAGTCCTAATAAGTGAAGAGTCAGTAAAAGATAGCACCCTTGTCTTCTTGACTTCTGTTTCCCGAGAAAGAATAGTAAAGTTCCACATTCCTTCATCGCGTCGCCCACTAGATTCACTCGAGCCACAGCAACCTCCCACGACTTGCCCCTACTTGGCACTAGTGTGCTTGCTGATCACGACGCTGAATTATGCACCTACCGACAAAAATCTTCTAGGTGAGATCATGAGCTCCTAGTCGAATTCGGAAACATGCAGTCGATGCATCAACCGTAGGCAATGAATATGAGTCGCCAAATGAACATATATACTGTTGGTAGTCACGGGATGGTTGACTTCCTGCGGCTCGACTCAAGTCCGAGTGAATCACGGAATGTGCACCTGCGAGTCTCTGGCCATGTTGGGCTGTGGATGCTCAGTACAATTACCTTATTAGTATCACCCTGTGACAAGTCACAGTTTTTCAGCATAAACCAGACACCAAACATAATAAATCGCAAAGATTCCGCTAATATGGCCTATTGCAGGAAACTTAACGGTCTAATGCAATGACCAAATTTTGAGAAGACTAGCCTCCACGTTAACAGGGAACATTGGTCTTACGAACCAGGAAGTATTTTCATCCTTAATACTACAAGCCTAGTTTGGTTATAATCGTCCTCTGTGTGCTTGTGGTATGGAATGGGGTCGCAAATACCCAGCGATTTGTAAGTTCCAAATCCTACATCGACGCGGACATTTTAGTACAAGGTAACATGCGTTTCCCAGGCAGGCTAGGATTTACCTAGACCCTCAATTAACATTTCTGCCCCCCGTGACCTTCTGCTTTATATAGCTTTATCGCGTAGTTTTGTCCATAATTGTTATCCCAGTATTCCTTCTCGTCAACTTCATAATATACAGACAACTTCAGTATTTTTTCAAAGGGTTCGATGTTATCATTATTCAGACCAATTTTGAACCTAAATAAATCCCAGTCTTTCTCGCCGGCCTGTTGGCTTGTACAAGCCTTTCCAACATAATCGCAGCCAACTTCTGAAGTCGTATGCCAGTTATCAAACGTGAATTTTGCACCGACGCGCTTCTCAAATGCAATGTTCACCACTGATACAATGCCTTCAAATATTGTGCCGGATAATATTTGGACATGTTGAAGATTCACAGCATCTAAGTATCGTTGACGTTTTGTGACATTCCCAGGGCATTGCATCTCCCACTGGATGCCAGACGATACTCCTCCCCGAAGAGTACACCTTCGAAGCGAGCCATGTTTGTTGTTTTCAAAAGAATTGGGCATACTTTCTGGCAAAGGCGATACTTTGGACTCTGGGCTGAAAAGTAGCACTTTTTCCATAGGGTATTCGAAACGTACAACTTTTTTTTGTTTGCGGAATTTGTGATCAAATCGCACTAACGGTCTGCTCGCTGTGCATTGATCTGATGGAACGTCATTGATAAATGATCGCCTGGAGGTCATTCGAGAGAGGCTGAAGTCTGATTCTCTGCTGTCTGCAGAAGCAGGACTAGTAGGTGTCGCATGTCCAAGCATCATGCCATTGGTGACGAAAACCTCAAGAAACAAAAAATTTCGGATAGGGTGTTCGCACTGGGCGCGTGGGAGATATGTATGCAACATCGTGTATCTTGCCTGAGTATTTTCTAACCATGCATTGCAAGAATCGGATTCGCGATATTGCTTGCAGGGAGGCGATGACAGAGCACATCTTACAAAGGAGCCGTAGTGGTTTACGTCACCCTCTGTTGTATAGAGAGTTCTAGCCTATAGAACTGGCCCAAACTTGCAACCATGGAAGGAAAATAATACTACGTCGCTGATAGAATCGACTGCACTATGAAAGAAAGCTACGACAGGTCTAAATGTCAAGATCAACTCGAAAAGTTTTGAGACAGTTTAGAGAATGCAAGGAAAAGTTTTACAAGATGCATGGTAGTAAATGAAAGTTTCCGATTCGATACCGGTTTCAGAGTTTTACAAAAGTGGGCCTAGGATTCTATGGACCCCACATTTCAATTCTCTCTGAGTGTATACTTTTAACGTCACGACTTGGCTCGTCACCGAAACTGTCACCTTGTGACGTCATCCAGTGGACAGCCGGGTTTTACAGAAGGCAGCTCAAATGGCGAAATGAGGGCAATTGACCCCCTTAATAATTACGAAAGCGCCCCCAAAAGCTGCGAACTGGGAGGTATTACTGCAGGTCATTTTCATAGCTCTTCATTTTGATACACCATGGAGACGGAAGCGTACAATACATGCTTTTGGTTACCTATCGAGCAGAGATTTCCAATGCAACGTTTTCCCATCTCTAAAATGGAACTGTCTCATCCTCTGGCTGAAGTGGCGGCAGCCTTTCGGGGTCAAAGCCAATCCCCAGTAATGCTGTACAGCAGAATGAAGAGTTTCTGCTGGCAGATACTCATCAATATCTATATTGATTAGTATTTAGGCCGTACATTACAATCTGGAGGTCACTTACCAAATCCTTGTACAGATTACCGTTGTTCATCCAGAACTTCTTGTTGAATGGGAAGCCCGTAGTCTTGTACACCTCCTTTTAAAAGGATGATGATGATAAAGCATGTATGGTTTTCCAGCAACCGAAATTAGCCGATTAGTGTTGCTTTCAGATTTGATGAACATTCCAGAGTACTACATAACTGTAGATCTGTGTACGGATCGTAGGCATATAAATACTTAATAAAGCAGTCAGATCACCAGTACAGCTTTCGCTGAATAGTCCTTCATCCTTAAATGTACGAAAGTATGTCGATTTTATTAAAAGTTGATCCTGTGCAGAAGCATAATAACTTACTGACCACTTATAGAGAGCACTTTTTGAGAGTTGCTCCCACCAAGTCTCAAATCTTTGATTCTCGGTACTTCGTCCTTCTATCCAGCAATCAGCTCGCTGGATATAGGGATCATACACTTGCTGAAACTGTACATAGACGTCTTGAAAACGACCTTTTTCTGAGCCATGATCAGATCTAATCTTTTGTGGTTGCAGCTGTACGGGCAGTAATATCACGATAGATCCAGATAATATAACGAGAATGGGCATCTATTCCTGCATATATCTCGATCCTGTGCAGCTCAAGCTTCATATAATCGTCCACTGACCAAAGAAAATTTGGTCCAGGTACAATACATTCTCCTCGTTGGTGCTGCAGCTGATGACGACGGGCAATGAGTCGATCAGGAAAAGTTGTACGGTATGTTTGAAAGAGACGATCTATGAATAAAATAAGTATAATGTACAGAACTAGAAGTAAGATCTTACCGAGTAATAATATGGCCTTTTGTACGCATCTACTGATAGAGCAATCTTCTACCAAATCCTTGAATCTTACCCTTCCCAGACTCATCAAGAAGAGTTTGTAGAATAGCTTAAGTTTGACTGTGTCCCTCATAGAGAGACTCAGTACGGCGTACAAGTCCAAGACTTTTCCGTATACTTCTAAGCGTACGAGGCGCCAGTATCACACCTTCCTGATGTAGAACATGACGAATATCTCTATCTTCAAGACCAACTTTGAAAGAGAATACTTTTATTCGTGCCTGTACGATCCTGATGCAGTAAACCCCACTCTGAAAGATGTGATTCAATTGTACGCTTGCTGAGCTGAAGGTCGAATGACTCCTTTAGATAATCTTGAATTGCAGCCACTGGCTCATTTTTTGATATAAAGCGGTAATTTCGGCCTTGTACGGGTCAAGATCAATACTTGGACGAGGCATAGTTATACACGGTGGTTATGTACGAGAATCAAAGAAGTAAATAGGTGATTCTATAGTAATCTAATAGAGAAGCGGCCGAGAAAGCGGTAAATGGACTTAGCAAGGAGACCCGTTGTTGCGGAGTGGCCGCTATAGGCCTCAGTACTACGGAGGGTCATCCCGAGCCGGCTGGGCTGAAGCGGACAGCCGCAGCTTCGCGTTGATTAACATTCCGCGCTTTATTCATCTATCAGCTCGTGAACCTTCTTACGCCATGAAATCCTGTGGATCGATCTGAACGACTTTGCCGTCTGAAACCATGGAAGACAAAGACGACCCTGTTACTACTTGCACTAGTGAGGCAGCCGCCCCGAAACCGACTGATCTCCCCTTGACCGACACTAGACCTACTCTGGCCTGCGTCCCTGCAAGAAGAGTTCATGGCCTTTCGACGCTTCAGTTGGCGAAAAAGTGAGCAAATGACCGCTTGACTCAGCAAAATGCTCGCGAGCGCCGACGCGTACTTATCAAGTCTCTTGAGTTACGCGTGCGCGATATTTCCTCCACATGGTCACACACTGACCTACGGCTCGTTTCCGAGCAGAATGAACTGCTCAAGGTGGAAAATCAGAAAATGCTTGACAGTGTCAAGACAATCATGGATATCCTTCTCGAATCGGCCGGGAAGCCGTCAGAATCCTGCGGCATTTAAAGCCACGTGATTTACCTTCGACTGGCATGGATGATACTGATTAAGGATAGTGTCTGTAGATGCAACAGTCAAGCCCTTCTCAATGGATAGCACTCGGTGGCATCCCATGCTCCGGACAACAAAGTCGTCAAACCCCGGAGACCGCACTCACTACACTCGTGAAAGCGAAAACCATGTCCGACAGTACGACGATGCCGCCTCAAACGCGAACCCATTTCCCCATGGTACATCTGAACACCGACATGAGGACACCCCTCCTGAGCTGGCCAGCTCCAGCATTTACGATTGTCGTCAGCAGGATTGCGAAACAATTTGTTGCCGCCTACTGTCAGCCACGTCAGGACCATCAAGAAATTTTTTATCGAGTATGCCACTACCAAGTCCTGGAATGACACATTCTGAGGCCATGTTTGCTATGCCATTTAACCATACTGCTCCGACGTGCGATCTTAATATCATAGTATTGGATTTCATCAGTAATCATCGGGTTGGGGTGGTCAAACACAGTTTCAGGAAGAAGAGAGCGGATTCTAGCTGTCTACAGATCTCCTCGCTTCCCAACCCGGCGAATGAGAGTAGCTTCCCTTCAATCGCCAAGGTTTTTGAGAAGATCCTGGGCTTCATTCCGGGTGGCAAATCAAAGACTACCGCTACCGGAACAGGGTGTATTTTCCACGTGAATTTCCTCTTTCTTCGACACCAGATTCATCCAAATGAAGAAAACTATAATCGCCTGCCGAGTTGGCTGATACCGAGTTAGTCACAGTTGCTGACCCCACATCCCGCCTGGGTGGACTACCTTCCATGGCCATCGATGCGAGACCGCGTGGTCATCTCTAGCCACTTTCTATCTTTCGATTCGTGGGTCTGTTCACCCGTGCACTGTCAGTGAACTGGCCATATGAAGCCACCGACTGTCTTCTCTGCCCACACGACCATCAATCCGGTATTTGAGAGACACCTGATGAATTTGATAACTGGACGTTGGCCAGGAGTTTGCTAAGACATATCCCAGCCTCGCCGATGCTGCCAAAGTTCGAGGCAGCTGCTGACATTGAGACTTCGCTCGCTTGGATTAAACGACGCAGGATTCTGGTTTACATGGTGGCTTTCTAATACATCTCATATAATCGGACCTAATTGTGGAACAAGAACCTTAACAAAATTCTATGGCCTGCTTAAACGAGCCTTGGTCCAGTAAAGCTTCCGAGGGCTGATCTTTTCCCAAGACTACAGGACAGTCTCCAAACAAGATGATCCCAGAACACAAATTTTAGAGGCAATATGATTCGCCTCATCGCATGTTTTTTCGAACGCATTCGTCGGTGTGAGGATTGTCGGGTAACTTGCGTCTGCGGCTTTAATCCAATGCAGCCGAGAAAAGTTGTGGATAATGGGGTGTGCAGATTCCTCATGCGTTTGCTGGTGCATATGGAGCCTTTTGAACAGGGTCAAAGTCTCCTTTCATACTGTAGTTAGAACCTTGGCCACATCGTAAAGTGAAGCGATACATACTGAATTATAAATTTGAAAAGGGTTGATATTAGTACTTCACTTTCAATATCTAAAGGAGAAAAGCGTATATAAACAACATTTCTTTCAGTATTGAATATTACAGCTGTATTTTGGATATATCCACTTTTAAAGTGTAAGATTAAAAAGAGAAAAAGTTACATAAAAATGATTCTAACCTTATTCACCCTATGCTATACTATGTATTGATTGATATATGTTTACCACCTCAGGTTGTTGAGATATGCGATTAGCAAAAAGGGCTGATTTGTATTGTATACAGAGCTGCGCATCCAACTTATTACATATGAGATCACATGATTGAATGCTTGTCGAATCGAATGATAATGCACTAAGCCTGCAATATCTAGGTGTGGTGCTGTGTCAAGACTTTTGCCACGGGCGCCTTTGCCATGGCGGAACTTCTACCCCCTCCGGTTCCATCTTCATAACCGGATGCTCACAATGGCAAATCTTTCTTTTAGGGCTGGGCCCGACTGGTTCGATCGTGTAGTGCGAGCAAGTCAACGGGACTTTTATCGGCAGGTTTTTCATTGGATTTGACCAATATTTTTCTTTGGTAGTGTGTGCAAGGATGGTGGTAGTCGTTTCATAAACAAAGCACATACTGGGAACTCATCACTTCCAGTTTATCACCAATCTTCTTTCTTCTGGACTTGCGTGCTCTGTTCTTTTTGGGTGGATGTTCTGTGGAGAAGCCATGACGGGGAGAGTTTCGGAAATATGAGAGCCTACGTAATGCATATATGTTAACACAGAATCGGATTCGTCTGTGCCGTTACTTGCTTTTAGTTATCACATCCGGCGTTTTAGATGACATATGGACGGTCAAAGAATTCGTAGCTGCATTAAATACCTGCTGGTTGATTTCAATACTTCATCCCTTTGGCTTAGTTTTGTATAACACATTCATGGTGAAAATATAGGCTGAAGCAGGTCCATCTAGGCGCCTCGACGGTACCCCAATTAGCTTTTTCAGTGGGCGGAAAACGTGCTTTAGCACTATTTGTCGTAGACATAATGTCTACTATACTCTAGAGTTTTAAATTTCCAGTTGAGTATCGCATGTTTTATCAACTTGAATAAGGATATACCTATATGGAGGGAAGGGGTTCGTTGTGATAACACTAAGGGAAGCTGCTGCATGAAAGGTTGAAAGCCACATATCTCGTATACAGGGACACATTTCGCCTAACGGATAGACCGATCTTTAGGGAAAAGCGATAGCCCAGTGTCAGCCGTAGAGAATATCACCGCGCAGATGTCTTTGTGCAAGATCGTTGTTCTTCCCACGACTATGAATACCCAAATAATGGCTGTCTGAGGAAGGGACTGAAGGCAATGGCAAATTGTAAGCACAGTAGGCGTTGTAGGCACTTGCTGGTAATGCTTCAGGCCGGCGAGTCTCTAACGGACCCACTGGCCTGGAGTTCTCGTTGAGGGGTAAGAAGGACAATCCTGGGTTAATTGACGCCTCCAAGGCACCAGTGGAGGAATTTTCAACAGGCATAGGATCATTCAGCGGCGTGAAGTCGTCGCCCCAACGCAGGGAACTACCAGAACTAAACAAAGACTCGTCCATCACCTGCATTATTGAGTCCATATTGTTAGTACCGAATGGATTACATCCCGTGGCGGTGATCGGATCGAAGTGACAGTATGTGGTGCTGCATTAGTTGCCAGTCATGGTCAGCGAATAAATGTCATATGTATCCGGATGAGGTACATCGTGCCTTGGTATGTCCGAGGTGCCCATAACATTCTGATCCACGGGACTGGGGATTAGTCTCGCTTGGCCCGGGCTAGACGAAGTGACTAAGCTGGATGAAGCAGGAGAGATGCCTTGAGGGTCAGCGATCCGAGGAAGCAAGGAGGTCGCGGGATAGTGGCATGCTATCCCCATTCGGACGCAACGGATGCACGCGGGCCGAGCCATCGAGCAACGGATCTTCTTCTGCGCACATGTCTTGCAGGATCTGCGTTTCGGCAGACGTGATTGGCCGGCGGTCTTAATACACCGTCGCTGGTGTCGGTCGCGTAGGTCGCCTGTGTACCATTAGTTATGATACCCACTGGAGATACAGATACCGTGTTGTCTCTGCGTCTCTCATCGTTCTATGCTCTGCAAGGGGGCTGAATACTTCGACGGCAAGTCTTGTTGCAAAAGCTGCACCTAAAATCTCCAGACCTCGGTGCCATGCCATTATCACAGAACTGAAACATAGTCGCTGTGGTGTTTGGGCTTGAGATTCCCAACGTTGGTTCTTCCACCGAGTGCACTGCTGTCTCGAATTCCATTTGTTCCTCTTGTAGGACCACTGGTGAGTAGCCTTGCGTGGCAAATAACAGTAACTGTGCGCAAATAGCTCAGATGTGCTGGTTAGCGTGGATGGTGGGAAATATAATGCCAAAATCATCCGGGCAGCTATAATTTCAGCAGTTGTTTGAAAATACAGGCACGTGAGAGAAAAAGCTCGAATGCTTAACAAATACGAGAAAGAAATAGTACTAGAGGAGGGCTCCCAGAGTAAAGTCTCATAATAACGAGAGAAAGAGGACAATTAGTAGTTAGGAAAGATAGCTTGGAATTTGGACATGAAATGCAGAAAGTTAATCAGGCATTCTTTACCCATGGTCGTTTGGGCTCAGTTTTAGGCAAGCATCCCAATCCTTCTGTCCGACCGTAAGCTATCATTAGTAATTTTTGTTTTGTATGAAGGCAGTCTACCAGGGCAAATCTATCCTTGTAGTTTAGTGAAAGTTAGCCTTCCACGACAACGATCCGCTTCTCTGCTATTGTTCTACCTTTGAACGAAATCTAGACCTTCGGATACCTCCCTTGTCTTTCTGACAGCGAGAGCAAGCAAGGTCACAAACCAGGGCCATCTTGCGCTTGCCAGGGCGGGGTCATATCGGTCTGGTCCAAACTAGGAAAGACCGTGACCAGTGGAAATAACCCAACCACCCAATCAACGCCAAGGCTAAAGACCCATAATCTGGCAATTTGGTGAGGGTTATCTTTCCCCACCAGTGTTAGATTTTCTTTTTCCAAGGGATGGGAAATTATCGTTGAGGCAGACCAACACGCTGGGTGGCGGGTGGGTCTGCCAATCTTAAAGACGGCCCATTAGTTAACATAAACTGTAAACGACCGACGCATGTAAGCGAGCTACGCAGCCATAAAACTATCTAGTAAGAGATTCCATTGTTTGGGCGATTCCCTTTCGCTAGTAGTCAATTATTGCCCCATATCTTCTGCTCTTGTATAGGGCCAGCGTTGATGGACATATAGGCAACCCAATCCCCTGAGGACTCTCGTTCGCATCCCATATTTGGCACTATTTGTTTCTTTTACCACAACTGTCATGTCAGTGGCATTATAGGATTTAACACTCAGGTTGCTCTGAATGATAGAAAGGTTCATTCTTCCAGTGATAGTTTCACGCCTGGCATAAAATGATCGAACTGTACTTTCCGATTTATGGAAGAAGCAATGTCCAACTGCATCATATTACAAGAGCTCCAAGACCCCTATTGCCCCATCACGACCGCAGGAGGCGGCCGAACACTAGTTCTCGGCTTCATACCGGACAGTCACAGCCCCACACCTGACCGGGAAGATACGTAAATTGCCTTTTAGTTATTCCCTTTGTTTGAAAAATCCATCCACGGGGCAACCATGCAACTGTGCCATGGATTATCCAAGAATCCATTTTGTATTTGTTGATTAGCCAAATCTTTTAAAACACAGAATCGGAAATACATTACAGACTGTCCATTCCTGGTAACCGACAGAGAAATTTCTGAGCTGCAGCAGTGTTTTTTTACATCGGTCAGCATTGGTTACTACCGGTTGATATATTGATAACCACCTAAGGCTGAAATTCGTGATTGTTGTTGAGCTTAGGGTAAATCTATACTTCAATACGGCAGCTCTGTTATTAAGTGTATGACGCAGTAGTGAGCGGTGAAACAAGTATTGTAGGTGAAGCGATCCTCGATCACCTTGGCATCGCTATACAACTTCAGAGATAAGGGATACAATGCGATGTCTACAAAACAGTCTCAATGACTCTGGTATATATTTTGGCGGAAATCCTGCGTCTGAGATTAAAAGCATGCTATATAAAAACATACCAGCAGGCCTAGTCATAATATGGCAATTGCTACAGACCCTTGTCTAGCGAACGTTCATTGAGGGCGAAAACGCGAGGCAGAAAACCAGAAATACGATAGTTAGAAGAAGACAGCTAGCAACTAGAGTTAATCTTCTATTCATAGTCTGTATTATAAAAGATAAAAGAGAGCCACATATTCTAAACGCGGAGCTAGTTACAAAAGCGGCGAGCGGGACTGAGCGGTGGGGTGATTGGTTCAGGCTGCTCCGGGCTCACTCCGGGAGCGTGTCTGACCCGATCCGGCAGTGTTACCGTCGACGAGATTACTAAATATTGATATTGATAGAAATCTCGCAGCCGGGTATATACTAACAAACCCCTAATTGATTAATGTAGAAAACTAACTATCTACCTCACAATATTAAATTGCCGAATTTTATACTTTAAAGTAATTGGCCAAAAATTCAGATAAATTAGACCCGAATTGGTCAATACTATATATATCCAACTTTGACTGATAGCAGTTTCGTTGTATTGTAGGAAGAAGAATTGCTTCTGGTACCGCACGACGAAGGGAAGGACCGAGGAGCACTGCAAACTATTTTGGATTGGATGGCAAGAGATTTGCCGTGAGTAATCGTAATCTAACTGAGAATGTCCATTAGCAAAAAGTTTAAATAACGTATTGATCCGTATGGTTCATCATAAACGTAAGGTAAGTCATCCTTGCTTGTTGTGCTGTTCCGCTATTTGCTGACTATCAGGGGGTATGCTCTGCTGCACCCTTCGACCAGATTACACCCCGCCTTCGCCTTTGTACTCGCTTCTGCATTCACTATTGAGCCTGTTTGTGACGATAGAAATGGGGTGTTACCAGCCATGTAACATCGTCAAAAGAGGTTCGAGCGCCACATACGAAATACAACGGGTTCTTTTCATCTTAAAGGCGATCCCTCTCTTAGGTATCTTTGCCTTAGAAGGTGAGATCGCCTGATTCGGAATGCTTACCTTCCATTTCTCCGTGGGTTAGCGTCACCCTAGATGAGCCGCGGTTGAGTCATGGTTACTCCATGCCGAAGGGTCTAACCAGGCAGCAGTACAAAGAACTGGAACTAATATATCTCGTTTGTCCTGTTTACCCCGTTTAGAGGCTACGTTCATATTCAATATTTACTTTTATGTTTCATTTTTCCAGGTTCCTACGCTTTTTTTCTTGAATACCAGTACAGGTGAATCATTTAGCCATAGAGTGCAGTCCCAGACTTTCTCTATGTATTGGCTTACTACTCTGCTATTGTTCTGGGGGCTCCCAAGTTGTATCGCCCAGCAAATCCCGCTGGGTGACAACCATAGTTCACCCCCCCTCCCTGAACAAGACATTTGAAAACAAGGTCAATTGGGCCCTTGAACGTTACAAAATCCCTGGTATCGTTGTATCTGTGGTTCGCGGTGATGATATCTCCGCCAAGGTGAGGCCCTGAAGTGATGTCGATATGAACTACTTCTCTCACAGAAATCTAGGGCTATGGAACCTCCGATATATCCGGAGACGTTTTCAAACCTGTAACAGAGCACACTTCATTTGAATGGAGGCAGCACATCCAAAGCGTTCATTGCGGCAGCAGTCTCCCTACTTGTAAATGACAGCAAAAATTTTCCCGACATTCAATGGGATACACCAGTACATAATATCCTGCCAGAATTTTTCCTGAAGACCCGTGGGCTACTGCGCACGTCACGATTGAAGATATCCTATCCCATCGCTCCGGCTTGCCGCGTCACGGCTGGAGCTTCAATGCAAACATCACTTCCCAAGAAGCTGTATCTAGACTTCTCCATGTACCCTTAACAGCGCCAATCTGCACAAAATGGCAATATAGTAACATGATGTTCATAACAACCGGGCTCCTAGTCGAGAAACGAACAGGCCAATCACTGAAAGATTTCCTCCGCAGTCGAATCTGGGAACCCCTAAACATGACAGAGACCTATCTCTCCCCAGTTGATGCCCAAGCCGCAGGCAAAGCAATGGCCCAAGGATACTACTTGGAGCTCCAAAATCAATTTATGGACGCAGGTGCCCTTCGCCAGATAATGTTCGCGGGGCAGGAAACGTCCTTTCCTCCGCAACCGACTACACAAAATGTGTCAGGCAATAGGGATGTTCTAATGGTAAAATGTGATATTTGTTCAGAAAAGCCATACCTCACTCTTTGCCAAAGAGTCATCTAACATTATACCACTTTGATCGTCCTTGGATGTCAAACAATTCATTACTCAATATATTTCGGACCTTCCTATCGATCCTAGAAGCCGACGATCTGACTGGTCGGTTCAGAACTTTGAAAACCATATCGAAGCTCGTAGACCTCCGACGGCAGGCCGCGGACATCTACATAAATGTATGCTGATATGCATCCACGCTATTAACCTTATGACGTTTACAGATCCTATTCTTCTTACACTTATCTTGTATGTATTTCCCCTTGGTAATGATAAACCTACCATGGCCAACGAGTTGGCTTTGTAAATCTACTGTATTGGCTCGGTTTATGAACCCTAACCATCTATGGCCTAGCACACTGCTTACAGAAGTTAAGGTGAGTGAAACTGATTCTGCAATATACTATAAGCGGGCTTTCACGACAGATACAAAACTAGACAGGGCTGTTATCCATCAACGGGTCCGTTATCATATCCCCCACTCTCAAGAAAATCACAAAAAGTTTCTCAGAAATTCCAGCCCCTTCAAGCTCCTCGGAAGATAGGCTTCAGCTCGTGAAGAGACTCTCCTGGGATGTGGCGTCCTTGGAAGCCAAGCAAGGTGCGGTCCCCAAGGTTCGTGGCCTGCTTTGTTCCGCCAGTTTCTCCTCCCGCATTAATCTGCCCGTCGGGTCCATCTCTGGCGTAGATGTAGATACTGTTCACTACATCTAGCTCTTGGTCACTGTAGATGGCTAACTCGCGAATCCTCTCGTCCCCATTTAGAGACAATTTTTTCATGGGCTTGTCGTCGGTGTAACCAGCCGAGAAGGCCTCCCCGTTCGAGAAAGTGAGTCTAATGCCGTGGATAACCCACAACCAAGACGAGGAATCAGGGAATTGATAAGACCAAGTTTCAAGTGATTTGAGATAGGTTGAACCGGAAGCTCTTTGATCGAAATCGAATGTCTTGACTGGCATGTTGCTAAGAAATGGTGCCTCGTTGGGATTGAAGGCTGTTTAATTGCAAGATATGATGGCAAATACTGATTATGGTAGAAATTTGGGACACGATTTAATTCCAATCTGTCGCCCATTTTGGATAGGAAGATACGGCTTTATAAGTTATAGGACCTAGCATCTTCTTCGGACCTGATTTACTAAGCTCGCCTGTTGAAACGTAATCATGCTTTTAATCCCAGGCCTTGAGAGATGTATGGTTGTCCAGCGAATTCTGGTCCCTAGTAGGCCAGAGAAGGAAATCCAGAAAAGATTCTTCATTTTTCTAGCTGCAGAATTTGCCAGTGTACTATAACAAGGGGCTCGATCTCAGCCGGTGTGGGTTGGAGAAGACGACCCTTAGCCACTTAGAAAAATGGCTCACCAGAAGTGTCATTGTCGATGCTGTTGAGCTGGTAGGGTTCAATAGGTACCCTGGATTTCGCACGGGCCTTGATTCAGCTGAGAAGAGAGTAAATCGGAACGACAACTTCGGTAATGGCTAACAGCCGATCTAGTTATAATTCAGATAGGCCAGCCATAGTTATAGCAGGTACTAAAATTCGTATTAGGAAATACATGATTTATTCAATACTGCTTAAGTAAATTACTAAATCTCTTCGGTATTGGATACTGTATTTGACACCTTCCTTTCATAGTGCCAGACATGCGGGGTTCCAACTTGGGCTGGCTGAAAATTGCTGCGACGAAAAAGCGTTGATCACGAGCGCCAACCCGCGCATTCTAATTATGCAGATTTTAGTTTTTGCAGTGGGGAATAAACTTACTAGAAAGACCGGGTCGGCTCGGCCCCTCAGCCTTCCGCATCCTGCCGTTGACTTTGTGGATCCATATTATTTTCTGAATAGTAGAATGATATCAAGCATCAGTAGCATAATGACCTGCTAGGTTGGATTAAACCCAATTAGAATGCGCGGGTTGGCGCTCGTGATCAACGCTTTTTCGTCGCAGCAATTTTCAGCCAGCCCGAGTTGGGACCCCGCATGTAAGAACCGGCACTTACACGCTCGGTTTCTGTGAAAAAAAGGACTTTGTGAACTTGATTGGCATGGCTCTTCAGCTCTTGATGGCCATGCAGAATAAGCTGGCAGAATCCATCTGGGCATGGTATCGGCTCTTCACACCCGAAGCTCCGCAGATGCTTTCAAAATGTTCTCGCGCTTTCCGAGGTGTTGAAAAGTAGCACTGATGAGACTGACTGAATACACAGTTTACGAAGCCGTCGCTACGTAAGTCAACAAGGTTACGCTCCCAGGGGTGGGATAGGGAGAGACTTTTCATTTATTCCGAATTTTGTTGACTAATGTTTATTTCTGTTCTATGATTGGGATGAGGCCTCTGGGCCACTGTCATACGACTACTGCTCTGAACTTCTCCACGACAGGTATTGACGGAAGCATATTCCATCCACACTCTATGTATCCTACATGGCCCATCCAGGATAGATGAATTAGTTACGCTGTAGCTAGGTCATTAGTTTAAGTACCCGTCGACCTTCATTTCTCTTTCATTGCGGAAATCATTACATTTGGAAACTCTTGCGCGAGCAAGAGAACGCTCCATGCTGCTATAATCTATTTTGCTAAAGAAAACTATCAGCCCCTCCTGCTAGGGAGTATAAATGGACTAGTTAAACACCATTTTCCAGTAGAAGATCTCAGCTGTCAAGCATATCCTCAGTCAAGGAATAGACTTTTTTTCGTTAAACCCGTCGCCTTGAGGAAGGTGACCACACACAACAGCAACTGGCATCCCCGAGAACTTCTTTCATAGATTTATTTAAGGTCCTCTCAGTGGTGCTGATGTGAATCAGAATAAGTCAGGCTTAGGCCTACCCTCCTAGCATATCCCGAGCTGTTCACGTAGAGAGTAATACTGCCTAGCACGCGAGATTTATCATGTTAATCTTATTGGCTTCCTTACTGCGGTAGGCTGATGGTCTTATAGCAATATGTAGTTCATGTTCCTCCATCCCTCGATGAGCCTGCTTGGCTTCTCTTTGGCTTCTAAACCGTGTTTTACTCGAGGACATTGAGAGATACTCACCGAATTTGCCGCTGGTTCTCATAGTAGATATGCAGGGAAGAATAGCTTTCTCAGGCAATAACTACACGGTCGCCTGGATCTGCGCCTTGGCGCTATATAATCGGCGGCCATGCTAAATGAGACTCGTACCTTATTGCCTGAGCTGAAACCTGACCTCAACATCTACACATTTGTTGATTAGTGGTCACAATGTGGTGGTTGCTTGCCTCCCTAGTGGGGACTATGGGATAAGAGAAAAGTGGGAAACTGTACATGTGTTCAGTTCGGATAATTCCAACAGGGAGAATATGGCCAATAGTGAGTCAACAGGAACGGATGCGCGGCGACAGTTGCCTCGTCCGCTATGTGCATTCATTGCTCGCGTTGCAAAAAGCCCAACTGTCGAGGCGATGCAAGATGCTCCACACGTCTTGGCACAAGCGTGTGAGAAAACTCCCACCAGCGACCGGTGTCGAGGGTTCCGTGCATAAGGTATCACATCGAGATTGCGTGATTTTTGCCTGGCTGCCAGTAGGAGATAGCGCAGATACACGTCGATATCGCCGCAATTCTGCAAATGTGATCGTGGAGCAGAGGCAACGATAGACTGCAGATCTATAAACCATTGGCAGAGGCTAGTGAGGGATTTTATCACTTCTGCCGAATACAACAGCGGCTCAGTCAAGGGTTGGGTCGGAAGATGTCCTGTAGCTCTGTGCTGTCCATTGGATGGGCCCACTCTACGCATAATCTGGCGCAGGTTGTTTGCATCGCCATGGTTACCTGGCTTCTGATTGCCTGCGGGGATGCAGTTTCCGCGCTCGGTTTTTCGTGCCTACCGCAATAGTACATACTCGCCCATTTAATTTTATACCCACTGCAGATTAGCGCTTTGTGTGTGGGGCTGTATCTCCCAGCATTACATTTTGCGGACCATGGAGCAGCTGACTGATGATGCTCTCCCACAGATTCTGACTTTTATCAAAAGGCGAGCGGGCAGCTATATTCTTACCATGTTTCTTTCAGATGAGCAACTGATAAACACCATCGAAACTAGTATACCGAGCCACCAGACACGTACACGACATAATGAGAAAAATTGACTGTAGAACGACTATAATATCAAGACTGAGAGACTACCAAATTTCAATAGCCCCGTCTTTCATCGTCCCCCGTGCGCCTGCGACCCGCCCCACAGCCCTCCGAATCCAAGCGGGGTAAGAATCTCCTGCAGCCCAATAAATGGACAACAACCCCATTCAACCTTTGCTACAGACATGAGATCATGTAGGTTGTTGGCGAGTCCTATCATCTGTCCGAAATCTGCCACGTCATCTTTTCCAGATTGAATGATATCGCCATGTTATTGGAATAGCATCTAAAGGGAGCGATATCACTGGCTAGTGTAGCAATAATTTACCCTTCAAATTTTGAACCTTCTCAAGACAGAGAAGAGTTGCTCTAATTTCTATAGTAAATCCAAGTTAGTAAGATACGTACTGCTTTCCATTGCACACTGTTTCATCAGCACAAAACTTACAGCGCAGGGAGTACTCCCTGCAGAACTTGCCAATACCGACTAGTAGAGAAATTTCTATGTTAATTTTTTACAATTTATGGTATTTTGAAGGCTTCATTTCTGGGGAGAGAGTCACAATTTGCCCATGTATAACAGTTGAGCTTGTGGTCCATATTTTCGCACGTTATTATATTAGCGCACATAGGCTACCGTCAGGTTGCAGAATTTCAAATGTATACGGTGAATGATGAAACTAGCAAACCTGGACTTACCCATTAATAGATACCTTTTTTTTAAAAAAAAGAAAAATATTTCTGACGTGTCATTCAAACTTACTAACTCGACTGTTGCATACAGACTCAGCCAGCCTCTCGATCTGCATCTTCAGCATGTCCAAGCTCATATCTTGTATCGTCCAGTAAGAACAAAACAGTGGTTACACTGCATATCAGGTGCAATAATCTGTATAATTAGTAAACTTCGAGGCGCCAGAACGCAAAATGATGGTGCTGAAATGGGAGATCAGACAATATAAAAGGTACAACTATACCACGAGTAATCTTAGTCTCTAGATAATCCTGAGCGCATTTATCACATATCTGTTACTCTTAAGCAATCCATTCCCCTGCACTGAATCAATCATGGCAACCAAAGAAATCACTCTCAAGAGTGGCTATAGGTGGACTAAGCTGTTCGACTACGAGAATGGTAAAGGTGTTACAACCAAGGAAACCCGCAGATACAAATGGAAAAAGTCCCTTATAAAGAAGAATTTTGTTGAAGCGAGCAGTAACGAAGCAAAGAAGATATCACACAGCGCGGGTGCCAAGGCAGAGGCCAGCGTAGCGTGGGGAGTTGTTTCTGCATCCGTCAGTGCCAACTATGACTTTTCGTCTGAGGTCAACCAAACTCTGGATCATGTCTCAAAGAACGACTCCGAGGAGACGTATGAAATTGAAGAGGAGATATCCCGGGAATGTAGGACCCCTTTTCCAAATAAAAGTAGTATTCTCTCATTACTAACGACGACGTGTTCACTCTAGTTGTGGTTCAACCAATGGGAAGGATTGTTTGCTACCAGTTGCAATTCACCGGACCTGGTATCAACATCCAGCCCAATATTGTCACTACGCGCCCCAAGCCCGATCCTCAGCTAGAACAGTTCATTGCTGTTGAAATTGGATGCGTCTTGAAAGAAATAAAATTCCTCAAGGACATCAAGGTAGCTGCTTCCACATCCTATATTCACAATAGACATTCTGACCGGATGATATAGGTTGTCACCGGCCGACGAGAAATGGACACCCCCGATGACCACATGCCAGTCCTTTGGGGTGAAAGTCCTGATGTCAATAAAGGCTTTCCTGAATCTAAGTAAGCTCTCTTTATCTTTATCAGCTGCAGGTTCGATTGGCTTACATCTCAGCTTTGTCTGGTTTATTCCCTCGTACAGTACCAGCACGGCAGATAAAGACACTGCCACCGCTATTTCCTACGTCAAGACAAAGTCTCAGGATACGAGCATTAATGACTTCTCTTCTGGAGACGGCAAAGAGTACTTTCGGTATCTGCGATTGGAGAGAAACATTCACATACGCGAGAAGATTATCAATGTTAAGATGGCTCGTACAAGTTACAGACTCGGTCTGAAAGATGCCAGGGATTGGGGATGGGACGGTATTAGTCAAGATTTAAATGAAGACCGAGGAGGGGAATATCTGTATCTTCTCTGGGACACGAGAAATGTCGATTTGGTTGCAAGGGTTTGAGTCGGTGCTGTATGTGAGGCGCTAGCAGCCTATTGTTCCACCCAGACTTAGTGTTACTGTTTCTGAGTTCCTGCTTTGCACCATGTTTTGTTTTTCCGTTTTTCTGCACCCAGTTTCCACTTTCGGGCGATTCTCCATTTCTAGCTTTCCCGCCTTCTAACAGCCGGGACTGAAGATAGGATTTTGTTACTTTATCTATTTTTTTACGGATTACAGCTACAACTATTTCTCTCTCTAAAATCAACCATTCGTCTAAGGTAATATGCCGCCGACACTCTAACAGGTTAGTATGATTTTGATTGGTTGATTAAGGGCGACGTATTTTCTCTGTATACTGATAAATACGCACCTTCTACCAGGGGTCCTACCATACAAGAGGATTAGAGATATTGTCATAGTTCAAGTAAACCAATTATCCTCCTATTCCTTATACACTTATAAAAACCGTCTTCCAATCGGGCGGTTTTTTATCCCTCCTAACTCTCCACTCATTTGCCGAAAGAAGGATCTCAGTAGCAGCCTCGAAGAACGAAGCGCCACTTCCTTGCAAAATCTTCCGTGATTTTCCAATTCTGGAGATCCCAAGGGTTTCCCATACAAGCATTGTTGCATTGCTACTAATATATCCCAGAATGCTGTGAGATCATTGCACAACAACTCATCGTCTAGATATCTCCTTGCACGGATGAGATTATCCCGCCTTCGTGGAATCGGGAAAATATCAAGCTATGGGTGGTGCGGCACTATTCGCTGCAATGGCGTTGATTGTAAGCTGTGAGGAATGCTATCCTCACAACGTTGTGGACTGGCCAGACCAAAAATGGAAATCGTACTATTTGGCACATCCACTCGACAGTTATGCCAATTCCAAGCACGCTTCGGTAAGATGCACGTAGAACGTTTAATCTACTCAAATTGAGGAGAAGGTCTGTTCAAGGCGAACCCTCGACATACCGCGCCATGGCTCACCTCTCGAACTGGGTCATAAGTTCATGTATGTTTGGAGGGGCAAATGTACATTCCAGATACTGCTGCAGAAGTGTTCAACAGCCACCCAGGAGCGTCCAAAGCGGAAGAATACCTGTCCAGGCCTCACTTTTCTGTGTTTCTGCCAAGGCGATCAGCAGAGACACTGCTTCCAGACCGTAGACTGTAGATTCGAAACATCTGCGGTCGCTTACAGCCACATGTAACAGGAATCTTATATCTGCCCATGGGAGTGAAGCACTAGTCGGGTCATATTGAATAGCGACATCGACAATAGCTGTGAACTGTCTAGCCCACGCGATGATCTTGTCCAGCAAGTCACGAAGGATGATGGTTTTGCCTGGAAACTCGACCTTCCAGCGCTTCTTCAGACAAAGTTTCTTCTTTTGCTCTGCTTCCTCGAGGATTTCAGTGATTATATTGCCTTTATAGTCACTGATAATACCGGCTAGGCTTGTTTTTGTTTCAGTATCGACCGCATCAAGGGCCTTTTGCCATAGATCTCCACCAGAGGCGCAACTTTGGATGGTCATGTTGTAGAGATTGCATAGGAGCCTAGAGTTCAGATCAACTTATCAAAAGAATGAATCAAAGGTTGCAAGTTCAGGGAAATCCAGCTGGCAAAAGCTCCAGCCTTGTCTAAGCCACATGGCATGGACCCACCATTAACAGGGGGTGCGGGGTGTCTACAGCCTCGCTCTCGCAGATCATCGCATCCTATATCATCTCTTTTTGAAGTTTTGATTCATAGCTTCTAAATTGCCCCTGCCTAAGCTATGAAGTTTGTTGGGTTAGCTCACACAGGCGTACCATCCAATAGCTATAGTAGGCTTTTTACATTAAGTATTTGAAATATTACCGTAACAAAATTTTATATTTCACATCGATAGTACAATATTTAAGCATACCCCAGTAAATACTGTGCTTATATAAGAAATACATACTAGGTCCGTATACCCGCCCGTAGACTCGCAATGCCACCAGCAATATCGGAATTCCGAACTTGCCCGACAATATCATTGCCAGGTCCACCAACTGTATCGTTTTTTTTTGACCTGATCACTCAGCCTAAACAACAGGCCATCCGCTGGAGAAGTCAATCACGTTCCACCCAAACAGCTTCTGGCCATCCGCATAGCCCACGTTGGTGTCGACGTAGTGGTAGTAAAGTACAGGACCCAGGTCAGGATCAGTGAACACACCCCTAAACAAGTATTAGAAATAGTGCAGATGATGTGATAAGGGAAAACATACTGTCCACCCGGTCCGTAGACGTTATCGTGGCTTTCCAGCACCACCGTGCCACCACCATTGGTGCAGGCAACACCGTTCGCGTCAACCTGCACTTGTCAGTTCTGTTGACGTATTTCCACCAACTTGGAATACTTACAAAGTCACCAGTCGCCGAGCTCGACCGGCAGACCTTAATCTTGTACTCCTCTCCCGGAGCCGGCATGGAGCCATCATACCCACAGCAGATGCCCACAGAGTAAAACAAGTAATAGTAATCTCCATATCTATAGAGATACGGTCCCTCCACGGCATGGGTTCCTGCCGGGTCAAACGCAATGTTATACGACGCGGAGGCAACTGACGTCGCGGCCGAGTTCATCGGAGCTTGGAAGATATTCTGCCAGAAGGATCCAAAGCTCATAAGATAGTTGCCATTATCATTGAAGAGGTTTGCATCGATGGCATTGTATGGCTTGGACGAGTCGGACCGGATTCCAGTGGAGCCATGATCGGTCCAGGTTCCTTCGTTCATGGTGTCGGAGGTTGCGAGACCGATAGCAGAGTTCTGGGTGCCAAAGGTTGAGACGGTGTAGTAGACGTGGTAAACTCCGCTTACGATTTGAGCGTCTGGGGCCTGGGGTTCGAAGTTAACAGTGAGTTCCCGGGGCTCGCAGTGTTTGTAGGTAGAAGAGAGCAAGATACTCACCCAGAGATCATCATTCCCGGGCAGATTGATGCTAGACCCGTCAGGTAAGATGGAGCCGACCGGCGTCCACGGGCCCTCAATGGACGAGGCGGTTGCATACGAGATCCTGTTCCCAGTCGAAAAGCGAAAGTAGGTGCCATCTGACTCGCGTTGGATCAGACTCGGATCGTGTATGTTGCAAGCACCAGAACAAGCACCAGGAGCGCCATAACCATGAGCCAGCGCTACCAGGAGCGAAGTCGCCAGCACAGAGGACAAATACATGATGACCACAGCAATATTCGCCTGACCCTGAGAGATTCAAAGAGCAAAGAATGTCTTGAGACAGCAAGAGTTCTCCCGCACCTATTTATATCTCAGGAGTGTATACGTCCGTGCTCACCAAAGCACATCGGCCATTTGTGGAATAATCTCATCTTATTCATCCCCTTCCAAGCCCTAACTTTTCCTTACAGGGCTGGAAGATAATTCTCTTCAGGACACCTCCGGTGGAGAGCAGTGGAGACGAGCTACTTGGGGTGGTGGACCCTGAAACAGCCCACGGTAAACCTCTCGCCACATCCGTTTCACATAGGTGGAGAAAAAGAACCTCAGCGGAAGTACTCCGCATAAAGGCCTGGATTTTGATTATATAACTGATTAACTAACTAACTACATGTATTCAAAGGTCCGGCGGGAGAAAGATTCAGCGTTGCGAGAACTCACTCCACCACTCAGTCTCTGACTACGGATCTGCACGGCGCCCCAGCCCTAGATGCCGCCCGACAGAGGTCTCGAAAGCGGAGAAATGGGGGGAAACTTCTTCATAGCTCGGACAAAGAGACAGCAACAAATTAATCGAGTTCAGAACATGGTATTCAGACTTCTCGAACAATGGCTTCGCCATCACATATTGCCTATCTCCTCGCTCGAAGCTTCCATCTCTCTGAAAGGACTCCGTACGACGAAAACAGATCCCTATCTGCCCTGCTTTTTGCCTGACCGACTATTAAGACAGGGAAGAACGCTTACGTCCGCCGATTTTGATCGAAAAGACAATCGCAGCACACAAGGCCAACATTCGCACCGAAATACTTCTCTATATACGTCCAGCTTTCCCACCTCCGATTGCTCGATGGGCTTCATCTCCTGCAGCCCGTCGATATGAAAGACCTCGATCGGCAACCCGATCCCTGCCTCCCCATCGACATAGCACCTCGCCCTCAGACAGTGCTCGGCTAGAGAGACAAAGAACGCCAAAGGGAAGCCGATATCTACGGGGGCCAGACAGAACATCGGTAACTGTAATCGGGAGACAGTCCGCACGAGTGCCTTCTAACACGGCGACGCCGCTCTCTTCAATTTCCTCCTTGACCTCATCCCTTGTGACGCTGTTCACGGTGTTCGTGATGTCCACGGAAAGCTCATATTCAACGCTAGCCTTTGCAGTTACAACCTCCCAACTGGCGCCATATTCACCAGTGAATTTCCCTCTCATCTTCGCATCTATAATAGCCTGATTGGCATCCTCCCGAAAATGAACTTTGACCATCTTTCTGCTCCATTTGTACTTATCGGTGCGCGTGGTGATGGTAGCATTTCCATTGTAATAATCAAATGGCTTTGACCAAGATATTTCTACAGGTATTTCTATACTGGCTCGAGACATTTTGAGTGGGAGGATAAATATGTAGAAGGGATTCAAAAAATTTATGACTTGAAGCTTGGACTGACGAGAGTTTTCATCTACCTTTTTATATCATTTCAAGGCCCACCTACTCCCACTTAGTTCCGCTGGACCTAAATAAGATGACGTGCTCTATAATATTTTTCCGTATGAATGGAAGGGTACACGCCTATCTGCATGCATCATAGGCCCACAAGGAACCTATACCAGCTAGCCATGTAGCCAGCTACGGTACTGTCTGATATTCTTGACTCGAGTCTCTAAACTTCCTTATCACTAATATATCTTACTAAGATATATCCTCTTGCACATATTAGAGATCTAAGTCTAGACTAATCAATTTTGCGGATATATGCGGGTTGCTTGACTAGGTAGTTTGCTATAGAATCTATGAGGACTTTTATCCTCTCCTGTGTTACAATCCATGACAGCTGCACTCGTCCCTCCCTTGTGTTATAATCCACGACCGCTACACTCGACCCTCTCCTGTGTTATAATCCATGACCGTTACACGCGGCCTTCCCTGTATTAAAATCATGATCATTACAATGTAAACGTCAGTAGTCTCTACCGGATCTGTTGATATGGTGAGGTGGTGTGGTTCTCTAGGCCGACAATCTCTGCTTTATAAAACCGTCAGAGCAATCGCGAAAGTATAACAATTACGTAATCATTCATGAGGTTGTAGTGCCGATTCGGCATTTGACAATGTACTAGCGCTCAAAGATTATTTGCTGAAATGCTATAGTAAGTAGTGCCTATCTTCTGTAGATCAATCGTGTAGGCGAAACGCACCGCCAGCACATATTACAGGTCAAGCCCCAGATGCGGTATTTGTCAATATGTAGTACAAAAATGCATGTGATATATGCGGAGGGAGATGTAGATCCATACTTAACAGTAGTGCGTGAGTGATTTAGCCATTTCTGCGAGAATAGTTTTGCTACTACTGTATTTCTCATACTGCCAGTCGCATTTAGAAATGCAGCTGCGAACGCGTATGATGTACCTCCCTCTAGGACCTATTGCCAATGAACGGGAATTGACGCCGGCCTGAAGCACATAATACATCCCATAATGGATTATTGATATGGACCTTGCAGTATTCCAAGCCCAAGAGCCAAATACCTCAGACGCTTCTCAACCTTTGAGCTGGCACATGAATGTCTAGGTGGCTTTTAAGATGATCTCTCACTGTTACCTCCACCATGACGTAATACGACTGTATTGTAACCTCAGCTCCCTCCCCCAGTAGCTTCCTACGTACCTGGTGTTAAAGTGGGATCACTAGTAGTACCTAATCGTGCTGCGGTCAAGTGTCTCAAACGCTTATCTATCTCAGCTCAGCATGCAGGTTATGCGAGCAGGATTTGCATCTTGCGACATACCAAGAATGCGTAAGGGGCTTTGAACGGCAAGGTGGAGGAGAGGGAGTGAATGTACTTTGATACATCATGTTAGGAGGCCCTCAACCGCCAGGCCTCAAGAATCCCCTAATACCAGCTGGCTTCCATCCCTTACATACATCGAACATATAAGTTTATCGCTTCTCAACTGCTAAATACATCATGAACGCAGAACATTTAGCAGCGCACTGATTTCCAGACACCAGCTGCGCTGACTACCAACCTCAACGATCTCGATACCTGTTTGTCGGACCTTCGCTCTTCTAGCCAAACCCCCAAGCTACACATTGTTACATAATCCCGACGACCTTGTAGCCCATCAACGTCCTTATTCTCGAGAACAGCGTCTCCGGCGAAGCACGCTCCCAAGGTAAATATTTTATTTTGCCCCACCATATTAGAAACAGTACATGACTCATCATGCTCCACTAGCTATTAACTCTCACATATTTCATGCGACTTATCAACAACCGAACGCTCAACGACAATGAAGGTGTCCATAGCCATGGTAGTTCTTACATTGTCATCCCTGACTCACCTCACTGGAGCGACAAGCTCCGCCATGGTTTCCAATTCGGGGAGTCTGAGTAACCCTGTTAAGGATGAGCAAGTTGACAAGCCTGCTGGCCCACTCTGCTATAACAGACAAAATAAGAGCAAAGGAGCTGGTTGCACTGTGTCTAAAGGATTCGGCTACTCCAGCGCACACAACTGTGTGCACAATATGTATTCCTGCCAGGGCGAAAATGGTAAGGTCGAATGTTTGTCAATCAATAATGCGCGTAGGTCTAAATTGAAGGGTGGCTACTGCTATAAATAATTCTATCGCAGATCAGCTCGTGCAAGGTCAGCAACCAGTTGGAGAATAGATGGAGAATAGATACAGCATTCAGACCAACTTATATTGGAATGTAACTAGTGTCCCAGTATTGATTCATTGAGTAAATCTGCAGAATTCGTTACCTGTGAGTGGGTTCTTATACTATGTTGCCTTATAGCAGGCTGGCAATCTCAAGGTAATGCGAAGCTTGTGCTTGAGTAACATTTATTCAAGGCATGACCTACCCAACATCAGGGGCTCCTGCAAGGCGAACTACACTTTCAAGAAAAATACGAAATACGAAATACGAATCGTTATGCGCCATTCCAAAGTTGGTTTCGCCAGACATGTTTACCAACCCTTGCTTGGCAAGTGCCTGCCCAGTTTTGGACGGAAAACTTGGGTATTCCCCAGAAAACTGCGCGCGCTCCATTCAGAATATTTACAATGACAAAGATGTCAGGAACTCTGGGATGGACTCGGGTAGGTTCAAAGCAACACCTGCACAATCACAGCGACAAAATTCATTTAGGGCTTGTTCTGCATGTCAGAACAGAAAGAGCAAGGTGATTATGAATGCCAAGTAGCTGGAAAGATAGTCAAACCTTGTTAATAATCAACTGTGTGCAGTGTACTGGAGGCATACCGTGCATGAATTGTCGCAAGCATACGACTGCGTGTTCGATAGACAAAGAAACCGACCAGCGACGAAAAGCCCATTTGAAGCACAGATTGATGGAACTTGAAGAGATATCTGACCTTTTGGATGGGCTACTTGAGATTCTCCGTGACGAGAACCGGATAGGAAGATCGGATCTTATCGGCCGCCTTGGAGGTAGCAAATTCTTAGATACTTTCTATGGAAGCATCTGGAGAAAAACAAGTCTACGCAAAGCTGCGAATGAATCGAGTAGTCATACAGAACTACGATATTTTGGCGACTTTCCAACAGACTATCACCAACCATCCGACGAAATTCGAAAAATTTTCTCACCTGAAGCCGGCAACAGAGCTGCTTCTGTCGATAAGTCTCGGAAAGAACCGCTTAAAAGTTCAAATGAAGGCGCCTCTACACGGAAACCACCGTACGTAAGATTGCCTATGGACATGACCAACAATCGGATTTGGAATTCACTGTGCTCCTCCGGCCTTCGCCCACATTTACATAGACCGCAAGCTAAGTGTCATCGTCGCGGTATTGAGTCTCCTATCCGGAAACAGGATAAAGGTGGCCACCATGGTGCTGTTTTCCCTCAGCCACAGTGCTTGGAGCCTCCTCTTTGCTTGCGGGAAAGAGACTTGGATGTCGAATTATTACGTAAACTTTCGGTTAAAGTGTAGCGCTTGGGATAGTACTATGTTTGGTAACCGCCCCAGGGCAACAGTCCTTCAACAGGAGCTTACAGTTCTTTCCCTGACACATATTGAGGTTATATTATAGTGTACGTGGAACCTAGGCTGCGATACATCGACTCCTGGGCGTCGGAATTGGGCGGGGATGGGGAAACCAAACTTTATTGCTCGTTTTATAGGCCTTAATTCATGAAGCTTTTCGCAATAAGTCTGTATGGATTTCCTTCAGGAATTTCAATCACTGCACTACCACGTCCGTGCCAGAAATGCGCTTGTTGCACTCATTCTCCGGCAAGTGAAGTTCGGATAGAAGAGAAGAAATTTTAGTTGCTAGATACCAGGAGAGATGCATAACTAATCATGGATCATTATAAGATAGCTAGTTGGTAGATCGATGAGGTAGCCAGAGCGTAGGCAGATGACGCGAGAGGACTTCTCTTTGCTTTGGGTAGCAGTTGGCGGTCATGAGTCACTGAAGATAACGGTCTCATCACTTGTCTAGTTTGATATCCGAGATCTGACGCTCTTGGTAGTAAGTCACAAAGCGTGCGAGCTCTATCTTACTGCCAAATTCACCTAATCATCCTAGCCAGCACCCTCGGTCCCGGGCTCTTGCCTGTCGTACAAAGCACGCAGGGCGATTAGAGCTGCGCTTGCGCTAGGCGGCGGTGTCGGTACTTATATGGACAGGAAGAATGATATGGCTTAAGTTGAGGACAGACTCCGATCCGTAGATTGCCACTCATATGAGTGGGGTATTTGCTCGATCGACTGATTAACACCTGGTCGTTACCAGCGGAGAAGGGTCTCCACTGTGTGTGGCTTCCCTTGCCGTGCGGCCCAATGTAGCGCCGAGCTGTTCTAGTACTGGATATTGAATCCTTGGTAAGCTGACAGCAAAATACTGCAGGTCTTCCGACTGACAAGGAGAAGCGAAAGGATGTCCTTCACGTTAGGTATTCTCCCTGCTATACACATGAGTATTTGGAGGGGTGATCGAAGAGTCCCCGTGCGGGTGGGAGACCCTCAGGGCCGCAAATAAGTTACTAACTCCACTAACCATGGTATGCCGTAAGATCGACGCTCCCATATGCCAAAAAAACCCGCAGGGCATTATAGTTTTTGTAGAGGTCGATGAGATACCTTGGAGTCTGATAAATGCGGGCCTTCATGGGATCAAAGTCTGTCTGCGGCTAAAACGACTACAGGGTGTTAGATTCTGGTAGAAACGTGGTCTTTCACAAGGGCAAGAAGTTGCTGTGGTCGTAATTTCACAAGGCGCTCATAAGTCTGTGAAATGATGGCTCTCCATGGGGAATAACGGACCATGTTATTGGAATTCCGGTAGTGGTATTTGCGAATATGTAGAAATGTGGCTTGCCATTCAGTGCGTAGTCCACGTGACTCTAGGATAGTCTCATCCCCCCAAATGTCGGAATGCTATTGGCCGGCCACCGAAGGCATACTAGCACAAGTCGCATATTTGGATTACCGTATGTACCCGGCCAAATCTGGCCTCATCAAAGCTGCCGAGATTCATGTTGAGTTGTTCGCCTTGCCATAATTTCTGCTTCATAAAAGCCACAAGCGTACCTCTAGGGCCTCTCAAAGATGGCAGCTGCCAGTCCCCTGCTTAGTATTGATTTCCTGTTGAATCCTGCTTCATCTGGAGTGGACCGTGCTGGGAACATGGAAACGCTACAGGAAAAAATATTGCACCAGGTACGGCTGCTGCCTTTAAACTCCTGATAATAGTTGGCGTTTTAATAAAGCCACAGCAAGTGAGAGACTGAGCTTCATACAAATTCCAGGGCTCTGATCATCGACGAGAATGGCTTTTTGCATCACACGACAATTCCGCAGGCTGTAGAGTGGACACACCCAAGGCGCACTTTTGTCCAATGGCGATGTGCTCTAGACAGTTCGACGGCCTGGACGAGCTGCGTCGTCATTATTGGGCATTTCATTCGCGGTCGCAGGCAAGTGGGTGTTTACGGGGACGCTCCTCTTCTAAAAGTAATGACATACAAAATCGCTACTACTGTCCTATACTGCCTGCTCCTGTAAAGGATCACCGATGATGCCCCGCTCGAAACCCGATTTATCGAGGAAACTTGGCCACCCTCCATGTCCCACAGTATTTTGTTTCGTTCAGTGGACAGGCATGTGGTAGGACAGGATTCAATACCCAGATCACTCTGGGTGACAGAAGGGGTTTTATCTCTGATGGATACTTTCGCACTTTGTGTGTTATTATATTAGTGTACTTCAAGTTCCCATTCCCAGAAGAACCAATGTCCAACAGCCCTATAGTAACAAAGTTGCAAGACCTCTTTGCCCCATCAAGACCACACAAGGAGTTGGAAAATTAAGCCAGGCGCTTTCTGAATATGTAAGGGCGGCCACAGCGACCTAGCGCTATGTGCCGGTTTGTATTACCGTTAGTTATTTTCTTGGAGGGTTTCGGGTCTACGTGGATAGCAATCTAGATACAGCTCCCAGCTAGGTAGTGCATCTCTAATATATTGCCTCCAGATTCAACGAGTATCTCTGAACTCATATATGTAGTAAGACAAAATTGCCAGGAATCCAGCAAGGAGTGATACTTAGCACCATGATGTGGCGTCTCTCTCAAATAGTAAATGTTTTCCTCCGCGAAAGCCAAACGCTTGGCCATGCCGAGCCAGTCTTGACTCCGGGCGATTTCACTGCCAAAACCGGCCCAACCGTGGACGTTAGAGAACCAGTGGATAGCACAGCTGGCGGAGGAGTCTAGAACAACCGCATTGTGGTCATGACTTAATTCCCATTACTAGCTTTAACCGATTCCATAGCTGAGCCTCGTAAAAGATACAGCGCCAGAGATAGAGCTCCCAGGTCTCGTTGTGTATAGCCCCCTTCCATTTCCTACAGGATACTCTTAGTTAGGTGAGAGCTACTCACCATACGACCGTTAAGCTTCACGGGTGGCAACATGCTGTGGTCTATGCAGACACAGGAATCCGGATGTTCCGTATCCAAGATAATCCCGACACTGGGACGTGCTACTAATATATGGCGCTGCTCAGTCAAATGCAGGCCAGTTTAAAGAAGCTATGTCCGGATAACCTGATAAGAAAACAAGCCACATTTTGGCGTTGGTCCCCTAAATCGCAGCCAGCTGAATCAAGTCTCACTTATGAAGCAGGGTCCGGATAAACTCAGGTCTCGGGGCCCAGTCAGCGGTGAATCATACTCAAATCCCGCTGCTGTGTATTGGCGATCTGGCAGCTCGATTCTACATGAGCCAATATGAAACCGCATTATTTCAGTATACACCCAGCATATGTCTCAGTTATGGTTCCAGGGATGTCATATTCACTAAGGAACGAATAGAGATAGATTTCATTGTCTTAAGATTTGGGGTCCAGCAGCTGGATCTTGTCTCGATCGGCCTGGCCAGCTTACAATAGATTCCTTCTTTTGTCCATGCACAATTCTTCAGTGCATAGACACCTATAAAAGCAGTGATACACGCACCATATCTTGACTGTACAATAACATCCGCCACAATTAGTACACACACAGGAAATCAAGCATTCTTGACATTCAACATGAAGTCCACAACCTATCTTCTCACTGCTCTTCTTCCCCTCACTCTGTCCTGGTCAATGCTGCTCCATCTGCGGAGCCTGACGACATTGAGGACTCTGGTCTTGAAGACCGGGACACTTGCAGGGTCGAGCGCAGATTCATTTACTTCAAGTATCCGTATCAGTCGAGTGATAGAACTGGCAGTGCCAACAGAGGCGACGAGGTTAATTTCGACTACAAGTACAGGTATGCTTAAAAAGAAAATAGGGAAATATTCATTCGTATTTACACGGCTGCAGAAACTGGTACAAGACGCGCAGGGGATGGGTCAGAGAAGACGACAGGCCTCGTCGCTGCCGTACGGTGACTCCTCATTCTACCTACACTAGCAATGATACTGACATTCTGTAGGGGGACCTCGTCCCAACAGTTGTAACTAGAGCCATGCGGCTCTCTAGGCCCCAGAATACTAGGGAAAAAGAGCTCAATATGCTGGCTTCTGGGAGTGAAATTGCAGGATACTGGAGGTGTTCGAGGTAGTTGCAGCACTCTTTTACTATGCCGTGAATTTTCTTTTGGTTTCTTGATAATTGATCGATTGTGTTGCTTCCTTATCCATAACTGATGAAACGTGAAATAACCAGGAACTAGTGATAGGTTAAATGTGATTTTTTTTATATAGGTTACCTTTCTTGATCAAGCCGCTGAATGATCTGCATGGCAACCTTGGCATCTCATAGTGATGTTCTATCTTAAGAATCTTGTTAGGTTATCAACATGAGAAACTCTGGGGCATGTCTGGATTGAGAGCTGCCAATTCCCATGCCTGTGTGACGTAGGCCTAGGGGTGTACTAAATGTATAACATGACTTCCCTGTGTCGGTCCCCAACGCTGCCATTCTACCCTATTCTATGATCACCATTCAGCGAGCAGCATAATTGATCTATGGTCTGGCCATCGTTGACAAAACTGTACGAAGATCTGACTAGGACAATATAATAGATACTGGTAAGCACGATAAATTGGGTTATAGATAGTCAGCGCATTGGAGACAGATGGTGGGCAGTTGACGTAGTAGTAATATTACAGAAGGAGCAAGTATAATAACTGTTCCCCTGAATACGATATGCTAAGTGTTTTGTCCATACCTACAATGAATGAGAGGTATAATTGAGATACTGTGTCTGGGAATGTCAAGTATTTTATACCCTCGAATGACACGAGCTACCACTCATATAACTGTTGTGCAGATATCTACCCTTTGACACCTACTTTGGGCATACCATTAACCTCTGACAAGGATAAAAAATAGACCAACAGTTAAGAACCACTATTATTTTCTTTTCCCCATAATTGTTTCCCCTGCAAGCCAAGAGAGGGCAAATTCTGCCCGGGCAGGAAGGCTGAGTCATCCATATTGCCATCGTGATCAAGATATCATTGATGATCCGATCTTTAGTTATGAGAATGAACAGCCGTCCAGTAAATATATAGGGCAGGTATAGATCAGAAAGAGTTGCTTGGGTAAATGGTACTTAACTATAGGTACGCTGACCAGACGCCACAGCCTCCTTCATCGCTATCCTTGTTTCAAGGGCCAAACTCTCAACTCCCCCACTAGTTCTCAATGTCTTCGCAACTATATACCTAGCCGGCACTGTGATGTTCGGTGGCGGCCCAGTCGTAATCCCCTTGCTCCGGTCCTATGTCATCGACCCAGGCTGGGTTTCCAGTCGTGACTTCCTGATTGGCCTCGCAATACTCCAGGCCTTCCCCGGCCCAAACTTCAACGTTGCTGTCTTCCTTGGTGCACTCGCCCTCCGAACCACATCCCACCCGACAGTCGTCGGTGCGTTCCTCAGTGGATTAGGGATATTCCCTCGCCGTTGCAAATTCTGTCCCTCTGGCGTATCCTGCGGAAACGAAAGTACATTATTGACTTCCTCCGCGGTGTAAACGCGTCAGCTGTAGGGCTAGTCTTTACGGTCGTGGACCGGCTTTGGGAAATTGGATATTTGGCTCCACTGGAGCGTGATGGGCAGAGTCTGGCGAAGGATCCCTGGTGGGTTGTTGTTTCTGCTGTTACCTATGCCGAAAGTGCGTGGTTCGAGGTGCGTGGTTCAAGGTTCCGCCTGCGGCTGCAATTTTGCTAGGTGCTGTCCTTGGGTTATGCTGGTACGGGACCGTTAGTCCTGTCTGGCGAGGGTGTGTCCATGCCTAAAGTCTGCTTGAAGGCTAGGTATTTTGAGTTTTCTTAGATTCAATACTATCCCTGTCAGATGTTAACCCCATCGTAACAGCCTCAGCTCGCTTATTCTTCTATCAAACATACAGCAGCTAGCCTTCTGTCGTCTTGACCCATCGGTTGAGAGAGCGCCAAAAAGCATTTGCACAGTTCCTCCGAAAACAGAAGGAAAGAGCGGAGGCCTGTTTTCTGGGAATCTCGAAACCCATCGCAGATCTCAACGTGTTTCACGATATTTTGCGATTCATTACGTCTTCTGACTTTATTGGCCCGCCACGGCTTATATGTACTTCGTCATGTAATTAGAATATAATTAGGATTGGCAGCTAGCTGGTATCTTTAATGCCTGAGGTTCTCTGAAAGAGAAAAGCATGTGCTCATATGTTAGTCGGAGTAAGTTCTACTCAGTATACATTGGGAGTCTGCAGGCCGTGGACTCTTCCGCTAAAGATTCACATGTGGCCCCCAGCCCATTCGAGCTATAAATGACTTGCACCGGGATGCAAAGGCGGTACGTAGCACTATGGTGCTTTAATCGTACTCGCATTGACAAGACGTGTCTCCTGGACGCGTATGTACAAGCAAACGTTGGGATAGGGCGCTCATCCCCTTCGTACGTGAAGACTAAGGGCACATTTGATTGCCATCCGACCAGGTTTCCGTATTTGTATTGCTCGTTCACTATGCGTGTCAGTCACGACCTCTACACTATGGAAGCGACTAAAGTGATCAAACATTGTACCAACCAATATAACATTCCGCGTTATTATAGACCTGGATAAGAGGCACCCAGGTCAAAACCCCCAATTTTCGTGTCTGTGTCGGCCCTAAGGTTGTCTTCTTCACCACCTCTTGCCCTGGCTCTACATCCGTCCATTTCGGAAGTCTGTTCCGTGGGACCGTCGAGAAGAACGTCACGGCCTCCAAGGTCGTCCGCACGACAAGAGATACGTCTGGTTGGGGACAGGGACAGTTTTCCGGTGAATAGGTCCCTAGAGGGGACGGGTAGAGGTACCGTAGGTGTAAATAGATGGTCGTGGACGCCGTCTTCTCGCAGGGGAATCGCAAGGGGCAGGGCTCCTCAGTATGGATAGAAAGTTCACAGCTACTTTTGGACTGGAGAACGTGAAACAGACCTATCCTCTGCGAAGAGCCTAAGACATATTCAGTTGCAAAGTCCGTGGTGCACAGGGGAGGCAGTGGTTGATCCCGAGTTGGGATGAAATGCACACGGCGGAATGTCTCTCCACACGGCTTCCCAGTATTGGTGGTGAGCCGCCCACGGACGCAATAGGAAATGTTGCATTCACCCCTTACGAAGAAGTTTTTTTCGCTATGCACTGTGTCGGAAACTAGGGAGAGCGAGGGAGGAAGTGATTCCTCGCGGTCACCGATATAAGCATTCTTATTAACACCGTAGATGCTGTTGGGAATGACAAAGCGGAAGGGGACGAGAATTTTTCCAGGCTCTAAGTGTTGAGTTGACTCGGAGTCCGAAATACAAACGGTGTGTGTTACGCGAAGAAACTGCCTACATTTAGTATTGATGCGAGTTTGTGGAAAGCTTCTTACGCAGAGCATCAAAAGAACGAGGATAAGAGGGATACCTTGAGTCGTTCCTGCCTCTGCGTCATTATCGCTGGGGGTAACAGGCTAATAACATTAAATAACTCGCCTTTGTAGGAAAGATTAGCAGGGCTGTGATCTTCTTCCTATGCTGACAGTGCCTACCCTCGAAGGTCACCTCCAGCAGGTAACCCGTGGCAGAGCCATCGACGCCAGTGCCGTGTTCTGGGCGACAGAAAGAGAGAGAAACATATCCGTGAAGGGATTCGCCTCCGAGAGCCAGACGGACTCCGTTGTTCTCAGCCCCTTTTGAAGCTCCAAATAAAATCCTCAACTTGCTTCTCATGGCCACATCCGTTTGCACTATGCACCTGTCAGCTGATGTAGGCGTAGGTAACCACGATCGCCTGGCACTCTTTACTACTTACCACACACTTCACACCAGATAGACTACTAATTTATCGGTTGTGAAGAAAAAGTCAATGTGGGAAGCTCAGAGTAGAACCTTCCATAAGGAGGATTTGAGTTCGCTATGTATCATGTTGAAAGTCCTTAACGAAAGGTGGTTTTATTACATGGGGGAGGGTGGCGGCGGCGGGCGATGTTTGGTTATCGCGTTGCCCGTTGGGAAGCGGAACACAGGCTGGTACTCGTATGCGGCCAAAACCACTGCAGGCCAAGCGCCAAGGGGACGAACGGATCGGCAGCGAACAACCTTTCTTTTGCCCTTAGGGACTACTGTTGCGTCACTCGGCCCTGCGCAAGGTAACGCCTCACGATCTATTATTAAAAAGCACGATGTTTCATATGTTTTGTAAAGCCTTCTGAGCTCACCGAGTTGACCGATTAACGCTCACGAACTATGCGTAACACATCATCAGCCGAAACTGTACCTGCGGTCAACACTCGAAAGCGCTCCGCAAAGGCGTGCGATAGGTGTCGTGTGAAGAAAGCAAAAGTCTGTTCAGGTGTCCCTACCGGAGCACCTTCACTTCCTGATCGACAACAGTGCGCTGGTAGTACTCCATGTTTACGCTGCAAGCGGGACAACCAAATATGTGCATGCAGGCCAAGAAAACAAACGTCTAGGTTGTACCCGAAGGGGTCTGTAGTGCCTTCCAGTTACAGAACTGGTCCTCACACGTGCTGATAAGAAAGAAACTACAGGTAGGTGGATTACTGGGGCAGCAACAGCGGTGGTTGATTACCGGCCTCCAGATTTTGTATTGTTGTGAATTGAGGCTCGACTAAGGTAAATATAGAGCTTCTTATACGGAATAAATTCCGTATATAAACAAATTGATTTCCAATCAATCTGTTGTTTTACCTTGTATACACGCCCTCAGGTAATAGAAGGAAATAGAACAATTGAAACTTCCTTTGAACTACAATGTGTAAAGATGGTGCAGTTCTAATTACAGATACTAGTGCACACTAGCGCACGAAGTAATTAAGGGGCAGAAATTAGAAAAGAGAAGGGTTTTGGGTGGGATTCGGAGGTCGAGCTCCCTGGATAATGTCCCAGAAATTATCACGTCTGGGAGCGGTGGATTTTCGTATTTTGGGGGGCCATTGTAGGTTGATCGGCTAAAGGAAACATCACCTATCTACCTGGGTTTAGTTCCATTAATTCCAGGCCATCTCCCGACATGGAAGGCCTTTCCTAAGTATATTAATGTAAATTGTACTACCTTACGCGAGCTGATTACTACCACTAACTTTCCAGTACATGGGAGCAATGGGCCAGGGGTCATGTCTCAAACCAGCGGCCACCCTGGGGGTGCTCCCCGTACCATTCAGTATCAGACAGAGGAGACATGCTCAGTCCACTCCAACCACCCAACTTAGCACCCCATTGTCACATAAAATCACAAAGGGAGGATATGATAGAGCTGGTGTAGCTTACCTGTGTTAGATTGGCTGTCTTAATGTTTAAATCTATCATACAGAGATTCCTTGGTGTTGTGATGAGGTCACGTGGTTACCGTCTTAGGCTCTGGCAGGCTATTTCATGTAGATTGTGTCTCCGTTGTAGGAAAGAATCAAGGCCTTGTGGCGACGGTGTTTTGGGGTACTCGTGGCCAATGACAGTTGCCATCAGCTGTGTGATTTGGGCTTGGCGTTCTGCCTGGGCAGAAAATAACACCACTTCTTGGCTGATCTTGACTAATATAGTCCATTTCTCACCAGCTCTCTGCTTTTCTAATACCACCTCATATCTTTATGTCAGGAATCTTTCTCCCTAGTTTATACTCTAGATAAGGCTGGATACTCATATGCAATTAGCCCACGGAGGTTTGATTGCATGATCATAAAAAATTGTTAAATCCAGTTAGCCATAAAATTCTGTGTAGTAGATGGGGTGCCATATCAATGAGCGAAATCTATTTAGGCGCGTTCTTCCTGTGGCTCCCTTTCGCGGTCGCCGAGAATTCGCCAGGAATTCCATATAATACCTAGGCAACCATGGTACATCCCCTCTTCTCTCCTGACTCTTTTCAGCCCCGCGTAATACGGAAGTCAAGATATATTCGTTTCGGCGGACAGAGTTCGAATTGTCTATCATGTCGCGCATATCGTCCCTTGACATGGCAGCCTTAGATAGGGAGAAAACGAATGCGACATACACTTACGAGGGCGTCCGCGGATGGAAAAGCGTGCGTTTCCTGCGACCTTTCCGCGGAATGTATCACGACGTGCGAAGAAGGCTACCCTACTACTGGAGAGATATCAAAGATGCTTGGGACTATCGCACTATTCCCAGTATTGTGCGGATGTATTTCGTCAAGTATGCCATCTTCACCACTTTCTTTGTCGAGACAGGCCTGAATCGGTGTTGAATCACTAATGTATACTAGTATCCTGCCCGCCATCGCCTACACTATGGATATGTACCGTCGCACGGGCGAATTTTACGGAATCAATGAGGGCCTCTTCTCTTCGGCTCTGGCGGCCATGGTATTCAGCATTTTTGGAGCACAACCGCTAACTATCGTCGGTATCACGGGTCTGATATCTCTTTTTAACTACACGATCTACGATATCGTCAACATTTATGACCCCTCTATTTATCCCAACTTCATGTGCTGGACGGCCATCTGGGCGGCCATTTTCCATTGGATAGCGGCGGTGTGTAATCTGTGCGATTACATGCGCTATGTGACGGACTTCTCCAGTGAAGCCTTCGGCATGTATGTCGGCATTATATATTGCAGTAAGTTGCCACTCCTCCTATCTGCCCGACATTCTAATTCGCATCATAGTCAAGGGGGTGGAAGAGTTGGTGAACGAATTCACAGCACATGGTCGTGATGCGGGGTACTTAGCTTGTATAATTGCCATCCTATTTTTCTTAACTATCTACGCACTTGAGAAACTAGGTTCAAGTACCATTTGGAAGCCTTCCATCCGTGGTCTACTAGCTGATTACGCATATCCGGTAAGTTTGACCTCTGCACAGCCTGGATATCAATGGATTGCGTGTTTGTTACCTGGTCTTCGCACCAACTTATCTATTCGGTTTCGGATAGGCTAACAGACGCAGCTGGGCACCCTCTTCTGGGTAGGTTTCGCGCACTTTCCAGGAAATCTGAAATCGACTCATATCGGGTTTCTGCCGATTACCCGTGCATTTTATCCTACACAAGACCGAGGCTGGCTCATTCATTTTTGGAATCTCGAGGTAAAGTGGATTTTCGTTGCCTTGCCCTTCGGGTTTTTGACTATGCTCTTGTTCTACTACGACCATGTAAGTGTTCCGACCGTCGTTATACCATTCATGTATTGCGACTCAGCGATCCGAACTTTTGGGATTAGCTAATCAAACCCCGTCATAGAATGTCAGTAGCTTGACTGCACAGGCGCGACAATTCCCGCTGAAGAAGCCCTCCGGATTCCACTGGGACTTTTTCCTATTGGGCTGCACCACCTTCATTGCGGGTATAATAGGGGTTCCTATGCCCAATGGTCTTGTTCCACAGGTACTGACTTAATTTTGCGCCCTTTGATAAGAGATATGCTAAAACAGTGCAGGCTCCAGTCCACACAGACTCTCTGACAGTCTACGAAACGACGCTCCGAGTGATTCCAACCGAAGAAGGGGAAGGTGCCGAGATTCGTCGCCCTATTGTTGAGGCAAAGGTGGTTATTGAGCAGCGTATCTCCCACTTTGTCATGGGACTGGCTATTATTGGTACCATGACCGGCCCCTTACTTGTTGTTTTGCATACGATGCCTACAGCTGTCTTCGCCGGCGTTTTCTTCACCGTTGGCTGGGGCTCCATAGAAACAAATGAAATGATGCAAAAGGCCATCTTTCTCATGCAGGAGAAACGGTTTGTTCAGCAGGACAAACCTTTACTCGCTGTCCGGAAGCAGAAGATCTTGCTCTTTATCGCATTGCAAGGTATCGGAGTTGCTGCAACTGTGGCCATATCCCAGACTATAGCTGCGATCGGTTAGTTTCCCCCAAACACAACACACACACTCCCTGTCATACTCGGTCGATTCTTTGCCTCGATGCTGATTTGTGGTCAGGTTTCCCTGTGTTGATTATCCTCCTCATTCCACTCCGTGTATGGGTTCTTCCTAGATGGTTTAGCGAGAAGGAGCTGGACGTCCTCGACGACCTCACAGCGGACAATAGCGCTGTGCTGAGTAGCTTGGGCGGTCCTCCCAAGTTCCTAGGTCAGACAGAGCCTGGCCATGAAGGTTTGGAGCGCCGATGCTCTGAGTATCGTGCTAGAGTTCCTCGCCAGAGGGCGGGAAGCATCACTCGTTAGCAGCTCTTTGGCCAACTAATAGATACGTGAGTCCACCAGGAATTGTAACAAAGAGATGTGGCCTACATCGATATCTGCCTGTCTAGAAGCATACTTGGCGTGGTTCACGCTTTGTGAACCATTGTTGGCACCAAGTATCTGACTAGCCTTGGCAGCGGGCTTTGGTAACAAGATACTGCAAAAGCCCAACCCCTTAGGTAAATCTCGGGATATCCAGGCTGTTTGCCATATAGCCCGGAAACTTCTCAGAGTGGAGGAGGGTGTTGATATGAGGGGTACAACCGGCCTTCTTACTGAAGATTTTGCAGGTGCTCCACCTACAGCAATGACGAAAACCCTTCTTCAGGTAGGAATTAATGAACGAATTACTTGGAGTCACTGCTAATCAAATCCTTAGCATCAATTTTTAAAGGTTAGAGCAACTCAATGGTGTCTTCGCCCGCTTCATATCCTCTGTAAGATTGCCCGAGAGCGAAAGTACCAGTTGGAGTGCACTTGACCTAGTTTTGTTTACACATTAACCCAACATTAAATACTAAGTCAGGTTTCTTTTTCTGGGCTATAATTGTAAGCATGATAAAAATTCATACGTTTAGTTCCTCTTAAAGCGCTTTTAACCTATAGTTTCCGAAAGTATTGTGAGTTATGAAATGTGCTCTTTTAAGGTTCATGAAGTCAACCCTCCCTACATCTCTTTATACAGTATCTTTGTTCACTTGATTAGGCAAGCTCTCGTAGACAAGGTGGTCTGTTGGAATATAAGTGAGAGACAATGGTCTTCCAAGTTCTTCGATGGCTACTGCGCTGATATCATCACATGTATGCAAGATACACATATTCATTTCAACTGCTAATTTACATTTCAGGCATATGGGCGAGCATTCTACCATGCTGGATATTCGGATGTTCTCTATCTCGATTGGAGGATCCTGAACTATATGAAAACGGTTTCTTTCGTGGGTGTAACAGAGACGTACAGTATATCTCCATAACATAGCAACCTCTAGAGAGCTAATCCGGAGACTAGTGCCTTTGATTCTCATGCCTCAGCTTCTGTGGCTTGCACTGGATACTATTGATGAATAAACGATGTATGATCCGCAAGCAATTTGGAATAATAGGCTCAGTATATGGTGATTGTTTGAGCACCTTTTACACGTCCTTATGTTTTGGCTCAACAGGAGAGAGGGATCCAAAAACATCAAGATGAGATACGCTACGAAGGTTATCAGCTAAATGAACATATGTACTACCGGTAGTTATGGGGTGATTGGTAGAATGGGGGTTTCCTACTGTTGGAATCAAATCGCAAGAACCACACAGTATACACACGAGGGTCTCTGGTCATGCTGGGCTGTGGACAGGCCGTGCAGTTACCTGCTTACTATCCACTCTGTGGCAATTACAGTATTTAACCAGTATAATTTACACCAAAGTACGTCACAGAACGATTATACTAAAATACCTTAATGCATGAGGCTAATAAAATGACTATATGATACCTGGGAGAACTAACGGCCCCGTTACTAGGTAAAGTTTGACGACAAGGATACACAGCTCTGGGATTCTTACAAACAAAAAAAAAAAAAAAAAAAAAAAAAAAAAAAATTAAAAAAAAAAAAAAAAAAAAAAAAAAAAAAAAAGAGTTGTGGGAGGTAGATTATGAAAACAAAACTCACAAATCAAAAACTTCCATTTCCCTCCTTAATTCTGTATATAAGCTTTACTAGATGGTTAGGATCGCCCTCTGAGTTTGCGGTACGGAATGGGGTCGCAACCAACCAGTGAAGATTAGACCGGGTTGTGCGACCCCGAATCGGCTTGCAGACCGGGCTTCTTTTACTCAGTAAAAGAGTTT